TTGACATTGTCGATCCTCACATTTGTCTGCTCATAATCATCTCACGAAGTAAATTTACTCATTTCTTGTCTTTTTTCAGTCATTATTTTTGATTCAACGCAATATTTATATAGCACCAATTTTTATTGAATACAAAGTAAGCTTTATTTTCAGCTTTGAAACCTACAATGACAGTGACAGTATCGTGCATCAAATAAACATTAATAACAGTCTTAAGACTTTGGTTGATCTGTTATTAATATGGCTGCTTTTAGTAGTGGAAAAATGTTCATCAATTGCACTAACTGTCATTAAACTCCAGCACAGCGACATGGATTAAATTATTCATAGTAATGTAAGAACTATTTGTCCTTAAAAGAAGTTGTAATTAAACACTTTGATTGTTGTAACACTTCTAGTCAGTCCCACCTACTTGTGAAAAGTATTTTTTTCAATCAGTATGCCCCCTGAATTGGGTATTCATTTACGAATGTTGCATGCTTGTCATGACAGACAGAGACAGCTACATACCCCAGTTAATCTGTAGTGAGGCTACAAGTGCTTTTACCATCAAGATGGCCTCCTGCAATTACACTTTTCAAAAAAGCAGGAAAGATGTGATATGCACATTGTTTAACAGATGACGACTGGGAACCTGAATAAATTTGTCAGCCATGAATTTGAGATCCATGCATACAAACATACTATTATAGGACAGATTTATTTTAGCTATAACGACAATCAGAGGGATGAAACAAATACAGAAAGAAACTAAGGCTCTGATAGATAAATGAGAACAGTTGTGGCACTTCCCATGATGCCATGCTCCATACATGCCTATATATGGTGTGCGAGCCAATCAGTGAGATGAAGGAACAACATCTGTATATTTATATTTCATTGAGTTGAATGCTTTCACTCATAACTATCAGCTCAAAGTTATTTTTACCATCACCCCCCTGTGACATTTTTTTTCCTTCTTATCAAAAGCATCACTGAACAGTAGCTTTCATGATGACATGCACACATTCATATTTTCACACATATTTTGAATTCTATATTCCTTAATGCAATTAATGCACCATATCTTAGGATAATGCCCCCTTAACTGCAACACCAAAAAGTCACATCATCCAGGCGCTTTCAAGCATAAAACCTCATTATTAATGAGAATTTTTTTTAACATCAAAAACAACTTAACATAGAGATAATTGAGGTATAATAATATAAATCATTGCTGTTACAAAACAACTGTACCTCTGGAAAGCGCTAGAATGTAACATAAAGTACCAAGATGTGTGACCCCTATATACGTCAGAAAGTACCAGGATGTGTGAACCTTAGGATCAAAAAGTGACAGGATGTATGACGCCTATACGGGTCAGAAAGTACCAGGATGTATCACCCCTATAAGGGTCAGAATGTACCAGGATGTATGAACCTCAGGGTCAGAAAGTACCAGAATGTATGACCTCTATAAGGGTCAGAAAGTACCAGGATGTGTGAACCTTAGGGTCAGAAAGTACCAGGATGTATGACCTCTATAAGGGTCAGAAAGTACCAGGATGTGTGAACCTTAGGGTCAGAAAGTACCAGGATGTATGACCCCTATAAGGGTCAGAAAGTACCAGGATGTATGACCTCTATAAGGGTCAGAAAGTACCACGGTATATGACCCCTATAAGGGTCAGAACTTACCAGGATGTGTGAACCTTAGGGTCAGAAAGTACCAGGGTGTATGACCTCTATAAGGGTCAGAAAGTAACAGGATGTATGAACCTTAGGGTCAGAAAGTACCAGGATGTATGACCCCTATAAGGGTCAGAAAGTACCAGAATGTGTGAACCTTAGGGTCAGAAAGTACCAGGATGTATGACCCCTATAAGGGTCAGAAAGTACCAGGATGTATGACCTCTATATGGGTCAGAAAGTACCAGGGTATATGACCCCTATAAGGGTCAGAAAGTACCAGGATGTATGACCTCTATAAGGGTCAGAAAGTACCAGGGTATATGACCCCTATAAGGGTCAGAAAGTACCATGATGTGTGAACCTTAGGGTCAGAAAGTACCAGGGTGTATGACCTCTATAAGGGTCAGAAAGTACCAGGATGTATGAACCTTAGAGTCAGAAAGTACCAGGATGTATGACCCCTATAAGGGTCAGAAAGTACCAGGATGTATGACCCCTATACGGGTCAGAAAGTACCAGGATGTATGACCCCTATAAGGGTCAGAAAGTACCAGGGTATATGACCCCTACAAAGGTCAGAAAGTACCAGGATGTGTGAACCTTAGGGTCAGAAAGTACCAGGATATATGACCCCTATAAGGGTCAGAAAGTACCAGGATGTATGACCCCTATAATAGTCAGAAAGTACCAGGATGTATGACCCCTATAAGGATCAGAAAGTACCAGAATGTATGACCCCTATAAGGGTCAGAAAGTACCAGGATGTATGACCCCTATAAGGGTCAGAAAGTACCAGGGTATATGACCCCTACAAGGGTCAGAAAGTACCAGGATGTGTGAACCTTAGGGTCAGAAAGTGACAGGACGTTTGACTTTCAAGGGTCATGTACAACTATTGTAGTACAATGTCTCATTTCTTCCCTGGTTCATGAAAATAAAATCAAATTATTTCAAGGAGATCTTGTTTGTAGAAGTGGCTAGTTTGCATGATTAGACATTTATGTAGTGTTTTGAGGGGAAATTCACTTTTATAGCAAATGACACAAGCACAGAGACTGATATTATGGAGACAAATTAGCGGATAATAACACTGTAAAGTGATTTAAAGAGGGGAAAGAGACGTGTCCCTTCTCAAGAGATACTTAGTTCAAGTTCAAACACAATCATTTTGACTCTTACTAATGTCAGTAATGTGATAGCTCTGCCCTCAATTATATGTTTCAGCAATATAGTTTTATGTTTGCAGAACACTTCAAATGAAAATTGACATAAAATTTGACTGTTAAGTCATTAGTTCCATTAGAAATGTTAACCATGTCTTATCACTTAGGATGTATAGCTGGACACTCTTATAAAAACCATTATCCAATGGCTGATGAGAAGAAAACACTTAAACAGTAAAGCAATGAGAATTAATCCTTATCCTGCCAGCCCTATGTACTTTTTACATGGACTTGACCAGATAAGAGGTTAAAGGTCATATATGCAAATTATTATTACATTTTGTAATAGTTCTGATTATCTACCTCAAAGGTTACTGTGGAATACTTTATTTTCGCTATTTTCGCTGAAAGGATGGTTCCGTAAAAATAAAATCCAGCGAATATACTTTTTTCCCTATATTTCACTTTCAACTCGTCAAAAATCAGTGAAAATAAATTCCATACAAAACACCCAAAATGACTTTTCAGCAAAAATTAATTCCAGCTAAAATAAAGTATTTCACAGTATTCACATTCGTTCGAGAACCTCTAATGTCATTTAAAAATTCAATATAAGATTTATTTTATTTATACTTGTAAGGTCAACTGTTCAGGTTTCATTAAAACACTTTTGTAACTGACATGTACATTACTGATACTAAAAAAGTTTTACCAATCATGCCTTAAAAATTATTGTCAACAAAGAGACTAGACATTTACACAAGACTTCAAGTTAACTTGAGATTCATGTCGGCAACAAATATTTTTTGGATTAATCATATGAATGTCTGACATAGTTTGCATATAGAAATTTGTTTTTTCTGTCAAACTTGAATGTTCAAAAATTGTGGTTAAATTCTGTAAGTATTATCAAATTATGGAGGATTGGTCTAAAAATGCTATGCAGAAAAAATGTTTTGCACCAGTTTTTTTTTTTTTTTTTAGTAAGCTGAGTAAAAATAGGGATTGGACATTTTCCACACATATTCCTGTTATATGAACATAAAACTATAACGTTTGTTGTTCATATTTACACACCCCACCAGCTTGCAACTATTTACACAATCAGTTTACTTGCACAAATTTGTAAATACATATATTTTTGGATATAAAGACTATGTGTGCTTTTAGTTTATGTTTTCATCAAGCTTACTGGTGTCGCACAGTAGTTTATTGAGTTGGGTTGTCAGGTGCTGATGCCTGTACCATGGTAGCTTAAGATCGCTTGAAGTACCTCCATGGAGCTGTTGCCCAGGACTTTAATTTGAACCACTAAAGCCATATTGTCATTCATAAAAGCAATTTTCCATTCGTCAACTTTTCAGTAGCCCAGACCCAACTGACTGCTCTTGAACAAAAAATCTTCAAGTATACATGTATTTTAATATACAGAGTTAGGGGCCCTGCTGTATGTCAGCATGTGGATCCAATCTCAAGCTATTAAAAATACCCTAGAATGAATTGGGGCATGTCCTATAGTCACTTATTTGGATTATTACACCAATATTTATTTATTTATGTTGACATTTTTAAAATGTTAATTTACTGTTATTTACACATTCATCATAAGAGAAAAACTGTTTGAAATTTAGGGAGGTAATTAGTCCCACGTATTATTGTATACAAACAAGCAAACAAATTAACGTTAATATCAGCAGTTCTCAATATTTAGCAAACAACTAAAATTGTTTCAAGGTCATGTACCAAACCACAACTGACCAAGTCTTTCTTTTAGCTGCAAATTATAGCTTAAGTAATTCTTTTGAGATGTACTGCAAATTGCTGTCAATGTCATTGTCATGCAAATTGCCCATCAATTAATATGGAAATGTTAATTTATTATCATTATTGTGCTAGAAATATGATTTTCAATAGAACCTTGTCAAATGTCACTTAAATGATCTGACCAATTTCAATTATTTTTTTAAATCATAAAAATATTTCCATTATTTATTTATATTTATTTATATTATGTTAATTCGTATAAATTTGTCATCGGGAACTTGCATGCTTGCATGCGCTGACGTAATATGGTCGCTGGACAGTAGCCCGGCGCAAAGCTGCGAATTTATATTTATGCTAGACGTATATCAGTAACTTCAATAAACAACAACAACTACAACTTACCCCCATCAGCATATGTTTCTTGACCATACCCATCCTGTAAACCACTGCTCCACGTTCCCTCGTATTTAGCACCACTATTTAAAGACTGTCTTACTCCGTACCGACCTTTGTAACCTTGCGACCAATCGCCGCGATAGACCCACCTCCCTTTCGTTTCCACACCGCTTCCGTTCCGCCGACCATTTTCCCAATGGCCCTCGTAGCAATTTCCACTGGGCCATGTGTACACACCGAGCAACTCAAATCCATAGTGCCACTGTCCGTTATATTCCCCTTTGCCCTTAGGGCCTGTGCAACATCCTAGCCCGTGGGCCTTTCCGTTCTCCCATCCCCCAGTGTACGAGCCACCATCATCAAAATCGAAGCGCCCGCCGCTCATTTGTGGAACAAAACTCAACGCAGCGTAAAATAATTCGATGCCGTGAGAACGACGTGATTTGATTCCTGGCACAGTGTTGCTGTTATTGTTGAATTTCTTTTAGTCATTATTCCGTGAGACGGTTGCCATCAAGATGGTGTGTTTCCTCAGAATCGAGTCGATAACGGTGTTATCTTGGCAGGTCTTCTCCGCTGTGACCAGTTATCTTCATCCTCTGAAAACAAACACGATGCAACATCCAGTTCGTAAAGAATCAAATCTACACGTCGGCGTCAACACAGTTTTTCCTGTCTCGTTTACAGTTGTAATAACACGTGTTGCTAGCCCAGATTTCTTGTGAAATCTTCAGTGTAGATGTACCCTGAATAAAGATAGGCTAGTATAACAAAAAATACGTATTCTTTCTGTCAGCTATGTCGAGCTACAAAATGAAGGCACAATCAAAAACACTTGTCACCCTTCGTCTGCTTTCCTTTGCTTTCACACGCGACTGGTTGACGTGGAATAATAAACGACTGTAAAGGCTTACTCCTTGGAAGTCGCAGTTAATGTGCAGAACGATGAACCGCCGTGAATTCAAGTCGATGTCGGAGGCGGCGGCGACGACAACGAAGAACGTGTGGTGGTTATGGCAGCCATGATGGGACAGTCAGATCGTTCATCTTCACACCATTGAAGGGGTGTATACGACAAAGAAAGTAAACGTAAAATGCTACATGAAGACTATAGTGCTCTGTCTCTAAGCCTTGATTTTCTTCAAATGTCACAGCGCCGGTAATTGTCGACGATAATTTGCATCTTAATAGAATTAGCCACATATTAAAAAGAGATTTAAAGCAGTAGTATGTATTTATAATTGATCGGACATCCCCGCAAATAATGGAGAGGCCCAGCCAATGATATTTCAAATATTTTAGCATGGAAGGCTGTATGCGGATATTGGGAGAGTAAAATGTTAATAATATACGTTTCATTATTATTTTATGCGATAAAGCAATGAACGTAGACTAATATATATATATCATTGTTAGAACTAAATGATGACGATACGAACGGAGATAATGATATTATTGCTTTTTCAAGGAAAATAATGCGACAAAAAGCTCCTATTTGCTCGATCATAAAATTGATAAAACAAGCTAAATTGTTTAATAGAAATAGAAAAGCGCGTTGGAAACTATTACAATTCAGTAACTGACTGCGTTACCCTAGACGCCCGACGTTAATGACCGTGACGTTGGAGGGGAGTTGCGAAGGAAATAAATTAAACCTCTCCAAATTTGCCCTTTGTAGTAGATTGTAAACGTTTGGCACGGTTGGTTTAGCTCGTTAATTTTACCAATAACCCTAGTTTTGTTGTTTGCTTTATTCGCTGTATTATATTTTAACTCGTAAACGTGTCGTCCCTAATAGATTCCGTTTTGCAAACTGCTCTGTTCGCCGGGCACGCCGGTCGACGCGGAGAAGAAGCGAAGAATTTCTGTCATACCATGCATACCAATGTACAGGGCCCGCAATGGGGAATAGACTAGAGAACTACTGTTCGCAATATGACAGTCCCTTTATCTCACGCAATTTCCTGTTATTCTGAGTATCATCTCCTACTTTTGTAATGTAATAGTTGTCTTTATTTTAGTGTAAGTCCTTGAGGTTATATCTACGACGTCGAAACCGTTTCATTCTATAAGTCTATGAGGCTACAACTAAAAGGTCAATAACTTTTTTTTCATCATTTTCCTTCATCGGGGGAGGTAGATACGTTGGTCGATGACCCTCGATCGTGTCCGATGACTTCTTGACGTCACGCGTCATCAAATAACGGGCCGGTTACTTGTAATCGTCAATCCCAATCACGATGTATAGATGTCTCTCACTTAGGATCGACTTCAAGTTGTACTACACAGAAAAATGCTGTCGTGTGAACGTAGCAATGGATATGGAGGAACGCTAAATTTGGTTATCCATTAATCGACAAATTGCGGCTTTAATTAATCTATTGTTTTTGCCGCGTGGTGTGTTTCGTTTCATGACTTAATTAAATTGAAATTTCGTCTGAAAAGGCTCGGACGTACGCTGACTTCAACTTTAAAATTAATTCCCAAAACAAGTGAAAAGAGACTTTTTAATTTGAGCTATTTTTGAAATCGTTTAATATTTTATCCGTTTTTACGAATTCGACTTGTAAGGTACATCTAAACTGTGAATTGACTAGAATATTCATGTAATTACGAGTTTGTTAGGTAAATACACTAATGACGTCATAGAAAGCTGTTATTGATACATTTTTTTTTTTTACTTTCTAAAGGGACTATTGATATTTTGTTTCAATAGTGGAGCCATTATGTGAACGCCTGTCGTTACGTAATGCTAACACATATATTTATATTGACGTCAATTCTATGCTACTGTGAGTATATTGGAACAATACTGTGTATAAATATGTAGATTTACAGTGTTCGTTAGATAATATAGTACTAGTGCGTGTAAAGAAGTTGTTATATTTGAAAGGGAAATCGTGACGTCACAATTCATTAAATTCGGCATATGGTGTATATATACCACTCTTTACTATTTTCGATAAAGCCGAGTATGGAGGAAATGCATGTATTTATTCACAGACTAATATTATTAGTTTGAGAGTTATTGTTGGGCGTTGTTCATGAAAGTTATTATAAATCGACAACGAGCAAAACATGATATTGTTTCAAGTTTACTTTTTGGTAGTATGAGGTTAATGTTACACAGAATGGCAAGTGTGCACGTGCATAGACGTACTAACCATGGCAAGTGTGCACGTGCATAGACGTACTAACCATGGCAAGTGTATGCATTCAACTTGAAGTTCTTCATTCGCGAGTCAGTATCAAAAACTGGTCGGACCGTCGGTTCGAGGTCGACTGATTATGTATACCGCGGCTGGCAGTTTTGAAAACCAACAGACACTTTTGACCGATACAAAAAAGGAAAAGAAAAAATCATGCCATGGACGTCCACTTTCAATGTGACAACTGGTTCTTCTAATATAGGAGGCAAATTACAAAAAAACATGTTCTAATTTTAGCACCTTTTGCAGTGATAACAACAGGGAGATATAATATAAACATGCCCGGCACATTGGTGACGCTCTCGTTAAACACGGTCAGCAATATGGCGCCGTAAACAATATTTAACACATATTATTGGCTTTTAAAAACATCCATTAAAAATGGAACGTACGAATAAAAAGAAATATGACGTATAAGTTAATAAATAACAACCGAATCGACGTATGCACAAATAAATTACTCGCAACCTAAATGTACGTTTGCAAAAACGTTCAAACTAAGAAAATCTCGATTATCTGCAATACCTCATTCTTACGACATTTGGCCGTAGATTTACAAGTATGGCATCGCAAGAGCATACAATATTTTTAAAAATGTCAAAATGTCATTTAAAATCTTGCCAGGCAATCGAAAAATCACTATCTTAGATTCAGTACGACTAACACACTTTTATATTGGTATTTAGCATTTCCTCGTTACATGTTGTCGAAAATGAAATACGTTAGAACCCGATTACAATCTCCGGTCCCGAGTAATTTCGAAGATATGCACAATTAGTAAAAAGAGCCATGGACAAGTTGACGTTGAGTTAGTAAGAATCCTTCCAGTATTTCTCCTACAAGTTTTGGAGAAAACATAAAAATATTGTGGATATCAGTGAATACAAAATAAGTGTTCCAATATCGATTTGTGTGATTAAAAAACAAACAAAAACAGGACTGTCTTGGTAGGATCTGAAGCTATGAATATAGTAGAATTTTACACCGACAAGCGCCCGCCCACATGGCGCAAAGAAACTGCATTATATATTGCCGATGATGGCGCGCTTTGCTAATTTACCAAGATCTGGGTTACTGGTACAGTAAGTGTAGACTTGCATACAGTTCCTTGATTATTTTCTGATGTTCTTTTCAATGGATTTCCGGGTTACTAGTACCAAGAATCAACCCCGCGGTAACCTGCGGATCATATCTCACTGGAAGTAGCACACAATGTCAGAGGTCAAATGTCCACTAGCATTTTAAAATAATGTGTTACCTGAAGTACTGTGGTCATTTGTTATTTAACATGTAAACTCATACTGGGCAGTATAAGAAATCTTCATATCATATTTACGCCAATGTTATAGCCAGGTTTACTAACGAATTCTGGTGGATGTGATATTGTGCTGGACAACATCAAGTCATGTATATGTGAACTAAACGATTGGATGCACGACAATAATTTGAAATTTAACCACAGAAAAAGTGATATTTAAATTATTCGTGTTCTATGCAGATGATATTAATATTCCTATCAGTAATGACGTTCGCAATCGAGGTGTAATGTTCGATAGAAATTTGGAAATGTCGAGTCAAGTTAGTTCTACTTGCATATCACTATTTTATCACGTGTGTGCCATTTCCTGGATTATAAATTTCGTGCCCATCAAAAGTACTGACATTATTGTACTTTTGTGGACTCTATATTGAATAATTGTGACTGTGTATAGTATCGGAAGACAATGAGCAAATGTCCAAATCACAATAGTCAACAAAATGATGTTTCACCCATTTTAATTATAAGCTTCATTGACTTCCGATGTTATTTGTTTTCTAAGTTTGTAACATTTTTCTAAGTTTGTAATACTCGGTCATCTTTGTATTTAGCCAACATTTTAATACCGCGCATGTCATCAAGATGTGATCTTATGTCTGCATTTGATTTATTGCGTCTTCTCCCAGTCACGGCTGTAAACCTGTAGCGATAGTGCATTTGCTGAGTGTCGTCCACGACTTTAGAATGCCTTACCAAATTACATTAATATAATATTTAGTAATGATGTGGACAATTATAAAATGTTGCTAAAACCGCATTTGTTCAGAATGGATTATAATATTTCGGTTTTCTTATTACTTAGTTGAGTATTTTCAGACATTTTATTTATTTATTTATTTATTTATTTATTTATTTATT